GTCAGCTCTACTCATATCATTGTGGGAAAATTATACTACCAGTCCTTCATCACCGTAGACATCGCAAAGTCATAAAGGACTGCTATTTGAACCTTCCCACAATAATATGAGTATGCCTCATATTTCGATTAAATTCAATTCAGTCGTAATGCCGATTCGTATCAGTTTGGAAAAAATTTAGCTACCATTACTTAACTCACCTCAGGAGACCTATAATGACCAGGTTCCTATTGCATCCCTATATTTCATTGGAAATGCTGTCCAAATCCGTGTCATCGGTTTTGCACCAGTTTGCATAGTATAGCTCGCGAAGTTAAGTTCTGCGAAGTGGCATTGCAGCCGTCCAAAATTCATGGGTTAGGCATTTTGCGAACTGACCCTCGCTAATGACTCCAACTACCGAACGTCTGAAAGAGTACCAATTCGAAGGCCTGATGCTACAAAGGTGGTGGAGCAAAGGTGCAGGACTAGATACGTTAAGAAGGGCCTTCCTGTCACCCCGACCTAGACGCCAGAATGAGATAAAAGGAACTGCGAGTAGATCGGTCACATCTTCGTCTTTGGATAAAATAATGTTTTCGCACTCTTGTACGAGCGGAACAGAATAGAGCCCACCACAGATCCACAGGAGTCACAGGACGTTGTGATGGGTTACATGAGGACTTAGTAAGTTCCTTTCAATGATCATCCATGTTTGAGTAACATGTGTACTCTTGTATCGATGCCTTTGCGTGTTTAGAGGTGTCAAGCCATCAGTTGTATCTGCGGTTCTCAGGAAGAGTAGAATATGTCCAAGTTATTCCAGATTTAGCAACCCTCTCTTTCTTTGTGGTCTGTGAACTAGCCACAATGATTGCTCTAGGCACATAGTCCGTCTGTGTGGGAGCTAGTGTATCTGTGTGAGATGAGATGTGTAGAAGAGGTGAAAATAGTTGCCAAACCATGATCTATCTGATTAGTTGCGTCGCCTTTCGCTTGTATGTGACCCAATGCCAACCAGAAATACCCAAATCAAGTGGAAACAATTCTCACACAACCTTCAACTGTCATTCCTTACAGGTAGCAAATTCCGCGATGAGATAAATATACGAATCTCTTGACCCCATACTTTCGTAAGAATCGGTGACTTAATTAAAACCAGCATTATTGTGTCTTTTAATAGTCGATTTTTATCCACCCTTTGACACTTACTCGGGTTTATAGGGTCTTCCAAAACCTTGAAAAGTGAAGACATTTGAAAAGCCACCACTGGCAACCGTTTGATGAGTCCCTCAAGACTGCTGATGGGACGCACATTCGACATTTGGAATAATTCAAAGTTGCCCACATTTACTAATTGGCTTAGGGTGAATAGACTGTGGAAAATTACCATTGACTTTGAGGGTATTCCGTTTCCGGTAGCTACTTCAAATAGCAAATCACTTAGTTTGGCTGCAGTAGGCTAAGATAGAGTCACAACAATACTCCGTGTCCGTAGCAGGATGCTTAAAATCTGAGTGAACCTACGCCCAAAAGGGATTAGGACGGAGATTGCGTAACAGACGTCAGATTAATCCACTCAGCACCAGACCAGATTGCTGTATGTATGCCTGTACTCCACATCAAATTCGCTGATGCAGCTCCAAAGTCGAGTACTTGAAGTTGTCCCGCCAGAACGGGTTGAAGTCAAGCCTGCAGTGCAAAATGCCTACGACCAACTTAGTTGGGTGTAAGGCTGATGCATTTCAAAGGGGAATTGAGGCGGAACCCCTAAGCTAATCTGGTCCAAACATGCCCGCTAGGCTTTGGCATCGACGACTTGCTCACTCATAACAGGCCGATTCTCGCCAATCCAGGCCCGACCAAAGCGCTGACCATAGTCAATCAGCCCGAAAAGAGAAGTGGCCACCGGCGCACAAGCGATGAAGAGGCAGAGCGGGCGAGCCCCGCAAGAAACCCAAGCAGTCCTGCTGTTGGAAGGGTAGTGCCTGAAAAAGGCAGATTATAAAACCATACACACATTCACTCATGTCGGGCCGGAGCAGGTGTTCTGTCATTTTTTCAGACCCAAGCATGAACCAATTTAATGGGCGTCACATGTCCCACATACAAACACCCACATGCATGCACACATATACACAAACGCACGCACACACGCACGCACACACAAATACATATACATCCACGCACACTGACAAGACGGATAAATAAGCACAGACAAAGATAGACACATGAAGAGATACGTGCACACTCGCATGCCCAACGCAGACACACGATAGGCGAATTCATTGAAGCCAAACGGCGAGACGAGGGACTCATACCGGACCCTCCTACAGGCACGTATGCAGCCCGCATTTTATATTGACGCCTATCCTGGACTTTGCGACCAAGTCTGCACCTTGCGCATCAGGGACCGGACAAAGGAGAGAGCGTGTGAGTCAGATGAAAGCGGCCCAAAGGTGGAGACGGTCGGAACAGCTGCGCGGCCCAGAATCCGTGGCCCGTTCTGCAACTGGGCCCGAGGGCCTGCGCTGTGTTCGGCACGCCGTCGCCCGACGACGGGCGCGATGGCGAGGCTGGTAACAGGCCCTCTCGGGAGTCGACAGGGGCCTGCAGCGAGTCATGGCGGCAGTGTGCAGCGGGGACACGCCGTGCCCTGCCAGAACGAA